AAAAAAAATGTTCACTTTGAAATGAGTTACAACTTTTTGAAAAATAGCTGACGAAACGGGCAGAACTTTCCTTACAACCTAATACTATGAATAGTTGTGTTCAAAACCCTTCCTATTTCCAGTTTATATAGCGTCCATACTCCCGTGGACAGAGTCCAATCCTAAAACATACATTCATACATACTTACATACATAATACATACGAGTAGAGAGTAATAGACATAAGGCCTCCTGAGAGTAAAGCAGTATTTATCATCCTGTTCTTTGAGCGTGAATCACGTTTTTTCACCGCATTTATTTTGTTTCCATAATTTTGCTCAACCCTGTACATACAAACTACATACGAAACTTATGGTTTACTAGCGCCCAAATCGGCAACAAAATGGTGAGGTACAATAAAGGAAATGCAGAATCTCTTCGTTTCAGGGCCACGTTGATAAGGAGTTGCTTGACGCTTTGGATGATGCGCAGAAGCAGTTGCTATTCTGCCAAATGCGTGCTGAACAGGTGAGCAAGTTTTCAGTTCTTGTAGCATATAAGAAATTCGAAGAATTCTTGGCCGTTATCGCAGCAGGGCATTTTGTGTTTAGTTTTCCAGAGTTTAAAGAGGAGAGGCAAGCTTGAACATTTCCAGTATTTGGCAGAAAATTCACCTTCTAGGGAATATTGGGAAAACTTCAAAGGTCAAGATTGTAGAGTTTTTTTTGAAACACGTGACATTCCATTCAGACTAACCAAGCTTTTCATTCCTTTGTAATCTGATACTGACTGATACCAAAACTAGGTTAGAAGTCTCGAATCGTAAACAAGTTCGCCCGAAAATTGTCATATAGGGAAAATGTGCTCTTATATAGCAAAGTGGATCTGAGTGCATTTAGGATACGTGCACAAGAAAATGGGATTGATCGGTGTTGAGAAATGACTTACCTTCAACTTACAGTTGGTCGTGTTCGTGTTCAAAAATATGAAAATTTTCAATGTTGACCAACTCGTTGATATGACCTCACGGTTACACCCACTGAAGAGCTTTTACTGGGGGAGACGAGCAGTGGGAACGGTTTTGTGCGATCGATCCANGCCATCGCGGACCATTTGCCTCATTATAACAGTTTTAGCATTCTTAATACAGCTCAATAGCTGTGCGATTATTACTTCTAGCATTATTCTACTGTTAGTTCTTTTGTTCTTGAATTTCTTATTTGTTGCTGCATTCTGCTGCATTCCTTTGCACCCCACGTCTCTCGCCGCAACGCGACTGTTTTGTTCCTACTGTATCGCATCCCTTTTGATGGTATTGAAGTTATTATCTTGAGAACTGCCGTGGCAATCAGTCCCACTGCTGGTGACAATCACGGCGTATCTGATCGCTCCTTTATATTTGCCAACTGTTATACATATACTGTGTTTGTACTGATCGCGTAATTGCTTTTATTAAGGTACGCAAATGGCAAGCAAATGAGGAGCGCCTAGAACGTGAAGGCGCGCCGAAAAAAACTAGTAAAAAAGGGATAAAGTATGTAATCGTTTTACAGCTGCTTTCCTTTCTGTGCTTTGAAATGACATAATTAAATTTAAGGTGGTTGACCGGTGCTGACGGAGAAGTGTGGGTATGGGTGATGGGGGATCATCCTCTCGACAAGTCAATTGAAGAGATTCTCGAAGAGGAGGTAGGAAGAGTGATTGTGTACTAAAAGTATGCAAAGTACAATTAAAGTTTTAAGGCTCGTCAAGAGGCTCATTCACGTGCCCTTCGTGAATTGTCTGATTCAGCAGACGTGCCAGTTCCAACGCTCATATCAGATCCTAAGGAGCCAGAGGAGGCGCTGAAAGCGCAGCTTGGTCAAATGCGCGTTGGTATTACTGTGAGTATTCTAATGGTTTTCATACATTTTTGTCATCTTGACATACACTGCCTCTGCTTCTGCTAGCGCCCGAAGCTTGCTAAATTCGTACTTAATTCAACAGAATGCACATTTCTTCATCATGAGTTTATTGTTTTCTAGGACGTGATGCAGGATGATTCTGAAAGTTCCTTCGATCCCACTCATCCACTGCTGTTCAAACCGGTTGAGAAGGAGTATACATCAAACGGAAATGGTCCGTTTCATGTCTATTCTAACAACGAAACCCAATTTTTAGTTTTTTAATGAAGAGAATTATGGCAATACTCGGAAAATTGAAGTATTTATTTATCAGGAGCTACTTCAAGTGGGGGCCCTCTAGCGCGTTCAAATGTATCAGCGGTGACCTCTACTACTGTTTCAAGCTTTACTACCCCTCAACCTCAGAAAGCTGAACTCAGAGGGCCACCTCCGCCTATTCCTGCACGGCCTCCGGATCTCCTTGGAAAAATAGCACAGGTTGGGTCATTTATCTTTTTTGTTGCCTGTTGTAATAGCAGACATGCAATATATAGTGTTCATTACATTTTTTTCAATTACCTTCAACTTACATCTCACTGAAGGGTTTGAGACCATAATTTCAAATGCTCTGTCCCTAACCTACTGAGCGATTAAGGACAGGAAGCTTAGCCACCATTTTTTGTACCCTTTCACTATATTGTAATATTGAAATTCCTTGCAAATCCAACTCAATTTCGAAATGGCCTAGGGAATAGTGCGAGCTATAGGATGAACTGAAGGTGGCATCTTCAACTCTAACCTACCGAGGGTTTAGAGAAGGACGCCTGTGACGAAAAGGATATGCCCCGGGTAGAATAATGACCAGAGCTATATTTGCCGCACTCCTCCGCCACTAGATGCTTTCAGATTTCACCATTGTGCATTGTTTCACCGAGCGACCGACTGGCGCCGTTGCTGGCCACATATTGACAACAATGGATCGATAGGTACCGCTCACGCGGCCCTGTGCGCAGTCTGTCTTGCGTTGTCAACACGTGTCCAGCAATGCCGTCGGCCGGTCAGACGGTGAAACAATGAACGTCGTTGAACTCTGAAAGCACCAACTCATCCCTCACGGTAGCGGTTTTTAGAACAAGAATTTCGTGTCACTGAACTCTCGATAATATAGAACAGGAATTTCGTTTCTTTGTGCGGTTGCATCGTCGGCGAAGGCCACTGGTTTCCCAATTGAGTGTGTGAAATACTCTGTCCGTTTTCTGCTAAACCGTCACTCATCTAAGCCACAACTGCGGAAAGATCTCGTTCAGAACTCTGCGCCACTTGACATCTGATCCTTGGGAGGTTCATCTTTTCGCCCTGGGCGTAATAAGGAGTCGCTGTATGTAGTGCGGACTAACAGCTCACAACCTTCAAAAGCAAGTAGGTCAAGGCGGCAACGAATAGCGGCAGCGAATTTTGCAGTAAAGCTTCAATTCAGTATAGTGGCCGTGTCTGTAACCATGTTGGTCGCCACGAGGGGAGCGATCGCAACAGCCCCACTTAGCCAGGTCCACTTATTATGGGCCCTTACGGATCCTCTTGGGTCACAGCGTGAATCATTGCCACACTGTTTTGAATTGAAAAGGCTGCAAAATCAATATAATCCCGCTATCGTTGATTTGGTTGACCCAGCGATTTCTCAACAGTCTTCTATGTAGCTCGAAACAGCTCTAGATTGGCTGGACCTTTGACACATTATGAAACAATCAATTGACTGTGTTGCTGTGGTCTTTAGTTGTGTCGCCTGACAAAACGATTTGGAGTTCTGAGGAAGGTTGTACCGATCACCATTGAGTGATACAATTACCTGGCACCTAGTGATGATCGGCCTGAACGTTTGGAAAGCATTGCTACCTCAAAGAGCTTTTTCGCAAAGAGTACGTGAAAAGAAAGGAGCGCTGAACTACAGCTCGTTCAATTCGTCTGTGTCCATTGCAATAAGATTGAGTGTGATTAATTGCGAACTACCATTAAGAAACGTACCAGAATTATGGGCTCCAGGCATTATTGTTCAGATTTACCCGAAGCCATAGAACCGTAACTAGTTAACGACAGCTACGAAAATAAAAATTGACTTCATATTATCCACTGTTGACAACCTATTCCTTTGTACTTGCAGGGAAATAGAGCTAGAGGCGTCTTTTTTAAAGTGTGAAGTTGAGCGGCCTACTCGCTCCGTCATTTTGAATTGCTACTTCTTAGTGACACAAGTATTTTCGGTGCTGCTACCGAAAATATCTTTGTTACTCAAATTGCAGCAAGGTGGTGCGTCGACTCACAGTCCAAAATTGTTTAAAACTGGTTTCGCCAGACTTTTTGTAGTTAACCTTATTCGAAGGCTGACCTCATATTTTCCCAATATGAACCTGATCAAATGCTCTGTGAAAGCGTTCAAGAGGTCATGGTCTACTCTAATCGTAAGCACCAGCGAAGTTGCTTTGAGTTCAAGGAGTCATTACTGGTATTCCGGAGCGGACTCAAGGTTGACCATCTATACAGTAGCGCTCAAAAGTCTTCGGTGAAATGCTTCGACGCTTTTTCGTTCATAACTTTTTTCTTAGTAGACCAAATCGCGCGAAATTTGGATATGTTTAACTAGAGCATATTTCACCCTACTCAACCCTATTTGATTGCGAAGCTGCAATATCCACAGATAGAGCAAGGTGTTTGTTGCGGTAGCAGATTTTGCTAAAACTGAAGTTGTTGTCGTCTGCACTTATTCGCACCTTATGTGCGTTTTTCTCATCTATTGTGTTCGGCATTACCACTCGTNAGAGCATATTTCACCCTACTCAACCCTATTTGATTGCGAAGCTGCAATATCCACAGATAGAGCAAGGTGTTTGTTGCGGTAGCAGATTGTGCTAAAACTGAAGTTGTTGTCGTCTGCACTTATTCGCACCTTATGTGCGTTTTTCTCATCTATTGTGTTCGGCATTACCACTCGTACACTTCAGACATGACAAAAAGAAAGGAGGTTTTAGAAGGGCCATCATCTGTATTTTCAGTCAATTTTGAGTTCAAGCCCATTGGGATATCTGGAACACGATCAGATTGCAAGTTAATAGTGGTAAATATTCACAATACACCCACGCTCCAAATATAGAAATTTCGCATGATTAGATTCAGTAGGAAAGGAGTTACGACTGAAAAGTAGGGCTGAAGAACCATTTCACCGAAGACTTTTGGGCGCTACTGTATATGACGTTCAGAGCTTTTAACACATTGACGGCAATCGCGTTCTGGGGAAAAAGAGTCGTAAGGGTACGGCCTTTCTTTCCACCCGCGACTGCATCTCACATGTGAACTTCGTGGTCCTACGCTGCCGGTTCTTGAGTTCATTTGCTCTTGCTATTTTTTGACGGTAGCACTTGTGTTGGAGAAATGGAGAGGAATTCAATCCTGATCTCAAATATGACCAGAAATTGTTTCGAGGAGTAACATCCACGTCCGGTCTTCTTGAAACCTGGGCATGTTGTACAATATTTTATGCTGTTTTGCCGTACAGGTTTGTTATGGTAGAAACCGCTTCGTTGGTCGACGTTTCGAAATATCGTCGTCTTCAGGAACTGAAAGCAGTTCGGAGCTCCTGATCTGTGGCTCACCCGACCGAATGAGATTGGTGCTAGAAAGATCTTGGAAGCGTTGCACATCCGAGAGAGAAATCCCGAGCTGAACAACCGAAATGAGTGCATTGCCATAACAGGCGAATTTCTGCCGTTCATTCCTTATTGTGGGCTTCGAGAACACCGCGCAACTCTTATCCAGCAGCCGTCAATGATGTCTCATTGGTCCCTTGTTGTTCACGAAGTTGAGTGGGACGGCAGCGTTGTTGGAACCGCAGAAGGTTGGTTTCTTCGTTGGGAGCTTTTAGTGTTTAAGTTTCTGGGAGCTGTTGCAACTGGTCTAGCGCGTTTGGGCGCTTGGTCGGGTAAGCCACAGATCAGGAGCTCCGAACTGCTTTCAGGTCCTGAAGACGACGATTTGTCGAAACGTCGACCAATAAAGCGGTTTCTACCATAGCAAACCTGTACGGCAAAACAGCATAAAACATTGTTTCGAGGAGTTTTGCATATAGTCGATAACAGTGGAGATGCTAAATTCTTTTCAAAGATATAATTTTCCTGAAGTTTTTCATTGAATGATGCACGATGTGCTAGGAGCGCGGGATCGTTTAGGTAAATTCAATGATTTGAGAAAAAAGTGGCCGAAAGTTGAACTATAGCCCAGCAAAATAAAAAAAAACAACAATTGTAGCCTTCAGTTGGACTGAACGGTGCCACGCTGCCAAGGAAATAGTCCAAATGTGGACTTCGTTGTCGAACGGTGAAAGGCACAGGTCGGAGTAATAAGTGTGAGACTACAAAAAGAAGTGAATTTATGGTTTTGACTAGAATGTGTTCATATTAGTTGCAACGGAGGGGTGTTTGGACGAGCTGTCCGACTGTTTATGGTACTGCGTGCAGCTGGCTACAGCAAGCTGCGTGCGTGCAACGTGTGGGTCCCGATGCGATTGGTGCGGCCTATACAACGCCGTGGCTTCTCGTCCGCCTTGCATGTTGACTTCGGCTGAGCCAGTTTTTGGGGCCCTCGTTGCTCCCTATGTGGGCCGTTTTTCGGCCCGACAGCATCCCCTGTGCTATAGTTGGGGGTCAAAATATCATCCTAGAAAGAACTCGAAGGAACTAGTTTTGTCGTGAACTGTGTCCTTAAGGAAATGTGGTTCCTGCGTGAAAGCAGATGGTCGAATAGTATATCGGTTTTTGTTTACTATTTTTCAATCTTCACTTGTGTCTCTCGTGCTCAAAATAATTCATGTATATGGGCAATTTATCTTGTTAATTTTTGCCCTACCTGAACTTGTGGTCTTGTAATCATTTTTTTTTTGTTTGATGGTATGCTGAAATTTGAATTGGTAACGATACTACTGAATGAGCAGAACCATTAATAACTTTTAGTTGTTGTTTATTTGTCCATAATGGTTAAAGCTTCAGATTCAAGCTTCTTCTCCATCAGCTTCACCCGGAACATCTCCATGGCAAGGTATAATAAATAAAAATGTTGTTCTGTGCTTGTACTTTTTGTTGGCTTCGTAGCCGCACTCAATGCGTTACTTAGGTTCATTGGAAACCCATCAGATTGTAGGCGATCCTCAATTACCGAAATGAAAACCATCATTTTGAGCATCCAAAGGCCCTGTTCACGAAGAAAGATGGTTTTTAAGCTGGAACGGAGCTGTTGCCTCAAAGTAGGCCCATGAGGCGCTGTCTTGTCAGAAAACTACCTACATGGGGCGCCATAGGGACCAATATCGACTTGGCCGGCGTACACGCACAGAACTGATCATGTTTGACGGCGCTGTAAAAGCAATGCCTTTCACAAGAGACACCCATAAGGAAGATCCGAACATCATGGCGTGATCCTTACGGGCAGTAGATAAAGATATTGGCTAGTCCTGGTTGACACTCTGACTTAATATGGTCAGCTCTTTACGGATTTTAACAACTGAGATCTCGTCGAAGTAGCACTTCCATGCCATGTCCTTATGGTAATCGCGTAATTGAAGACCACGTTACTGACCTTGTGTGAAGCTAGTTCAGCGTAAAAGGCAACTCCTGCGAGAGCCACAACTAGCTAAAAATCGGTATCATTAAAGTGTGCCCGCTTCACTAACTAACTTTTGTCTCTGCAACGCTTTTCCACCTTGCCGCTCATGAGGACGTTTGATGCGCTAGTGCTGTTATTTGGGATTAACGGCAAGAAAAGCGTAATAAGGGAACTATCAAGAGATTTATGTACGATGCAAAGAGGTTTAGAATCTGCTTACTAATTTCAAGAAAGGTCGTAGACGTCTAATGTCAAGGACATTTTTGACTGATAACCTTCCTCTCAGACCACAACGTTTAAAATTACAAAATTTTGTGATCGTCGTGTTTTAGATCAATTTTGACCGTAGATTTGTAGATTGATCTACGTATATGCTGCATGTTACAATGTCCATATAGTATTCTTTAAGGTGTAAAGATGAGAGCTCCTCGCGAGCAAGCGTCAGAGCATAAACCAGAAGATGTCCAAAAGCGGGAGTCTGAAATTTTCCAGAGTATTCAGGTAATAGTTACTCAAATTCCATGTTAATTTATGTGTACTACTTCGTTCATTATCAGGCTTCTTCAGTAACTCGTCTCACTCTGTAGGTTTGACAGAACAGTCTCTTGTTCAACAGTTTGCAATTATTTGTTGGGTGCGTTGGCCTAGGTGCCAGCAGTGCTGCAGTGAGAGTAGCACATTTCGATCCTCGATCTTTCATTTGTTCCTTTTCGACTCATGTAATGTACACATGTGATCGCTGCGCAACGTCGCGTGACGCCTTCGGCAGTGCACCCTTCTTGCTTTGAGCACGGTTGTTTTTGGCATGACTTCAATTGTGCAGCTGTTGGTTGTTTCAATAGATGCCTGCCCAATTACCCTTCCTTGCGATGAATTCTGTCGTCGTGCTGCAGCCAATTTTGGTTTCTTCCATGACGAGTAGAATTCATTCGTTAGTGAAGTTCAGTTGAGAAAAAGTGTATCATACCCACATGAAGCACACGTGTAATGTACTGTTTTTTCCGCATATTTTAAGGAAACGGTAGTGCTAGTTCTTTTTCTTATTGTGTTTTAGCTTCTCATTCACCAAATAAGAAGTTCTTTGCTCTTAGTCTTAAGGAAACATAAGCTTCTATATAACCGTAACCTGTTCTAGGAAAAACGAGAGCGTATCCGAAGAGAAGCTGAAGCCGAATCTGAAAGACAACGGCTTGAGTGGGAACAACAAAGTAATTATTTCCTTTACCTTACGTTTCAAAATCTTGCTTCATTATCAAAATCGTCTGATTGAAGTTTGTTATCGCGTAAGTTCAAAGGGATGGTGGAATTTTCCTGTAGAGTAAAAGATTCCTAATTTAATTTAATGAAATTTTCTGTTATTCTCTTGAAATAATAACAAAAATGGAGTCCTCCGACATATTGTTCGACTAAGCAAGCTTATTTGTTGGTGCTTAGTTTTTTTTTTTTTTTTTTTTTTTTTTTTTTTTTTTTTTTTTTTTGGTTTTTGTTCATTTGTGCGTAAACAGGGGTATAGAAGTGTTTGCTTGTCTGTTTGCATGTGCATGTACGTATATGTATGTGTGCATGCATTCATGTATGTTATACATATGTGTGTATATTGTATGTACTTGTGTGAATGGTATTGTGGGCACGCATTCGATGGAAGGTAGAGGGAGGGCTGCGATAAAAAAAAAAGAAACCGAATTTCATGCACTGTCTTACCGAGCAATATTAGACCAATTCTTTTTTGAATGTCTGTTGTGGCCGCAGCTCAAACTTTTAAAAAAGGCATCTTCCAAGGTCGTTTTTTTATTTTTCCAACGAATTTCAGATCAACGTGCGCGCGAAGCAGAAGAGGCTATGCGTAAAATGGCTCAGAAAGCGCGAGAGCAGCACAGACAATTGATTAGAACGTCGACAAGTATTTTACCAGCTCTCAACGACACAAAAGCAACTTCTCTGAGAGAGGCGATGTAAGTTTCACCAGGGTATGCTTCTATGTTACGTGTATCGAAGGCTTATATTTTTAAAGCCAGTCTTTAACGGAACAGCTTTTACAGAATTGTCTTATTTTTTGAAGGTCTTCTATTTTTGCATTCCAGTATTTATTTAGTTGTTTGAATATTCGAAAAATTCCTTTATTCGGAATTTACTAGAAAACAGTAAATAATAATCAACATAGTGCCCATTATGTTCTATGACGTGTCGCTAACGAAAAGCTGCCATCTACAAAACGGATTAGACTGCCTCTCATAATGTTTCGATGTGTTTTCGAATACTGGGTTTCTTATTAAGGGGTGACTGTGGAAGAAAGGGAAAAATTTCGATGTCTAAAATGCATAATGGATAGATAGTAGTACCTAGATCCCGAATATTAAGCCGCGACGGTAGGAGAAGGTGTAGAACTCCACCTCCAAGTCTCTTAAGTACCCTTTAACCCTTTGACGACAATGCGGATGTCGGCGTGACGCGCCCATGGGAGCATTCCACCTTTTTCGCGCGCGCGACTGGCACCCACTGTTAGGTGACACTGTCCCAGGAGAAATTCTTTCACTGGCTTACTGAATTTAGCAGTTGGTAAGAATCAAGAAAGTATGGTGGCACTCAAAATTGGGTGCCAATGTCCCATGCGCTAGTCATATTGGCACCCACCGGTGGGTGCCATTGTCATCAAAGGGTTAACAATATCTTGCGCTCCCTGGCTATGCCCTTCGGGGGAGAATTTTGGCTGTCCGAAAAGGTCCTTAATATTTGGTCTGCCATCCATACTGTGATCACAATTTCCGTGCAGTGCTCTTTTGGATCATGCTCTATCCCCTTCAATGCGCTGTTGCGTTTTACACACATCCATCAGATTTGTCTCCGCTGAGTTGTCAAATGTCAAACGAAAGATGGCCGCGTCTTCTTGTGGGCACTGATAGTACCGCTCCACAAGTTGAACATTACTTTTCCAATAACACCAGGCTTGTGCCGTTTACAATCCTTGCCGAATAAGTCACCTATTCGAATATGCGATTTCGATACCAGGAGCTTCGCTGTCTGTCCACCTGTCAGGTGTTGATTTTCTATATCATGGAAACGGCTCATCCAGGAGTGATATGTTCTTTCAATTGCTAGTAGCCCAGCCATAGGGGAAGTGAACTATTATTGTATAGAGTGAATTTATTGTGCTCGGCTCATATTTCACCTGTTCGAATATGCGATTTCGATAGGTGTATTATTTAGCACTTCTTCATTCTTTTTAAATTAGGCTGATTTTAGCTCTACTTCTTTCTTTTTGAATTTTTTGTCTCGCGAATATGTTCTTCTTTTTATGGACTGTTGAATTTGGGTATTTTCTGAGCCCTTATCATCTTCTAGAAAACGTGGAAATATACAGTATAGTATCTCATCTCAAACGTCTCAAAACGATTCTCTCTTACATCCATTCCTATAGAATGATATTATCAGCTTTTTTTCAGACAAATGCTTCTAAATACCTCGCAATTTCAGCAAAAATTTGCCAAGGCCTCCTAAACCGAAATCACGTTCAGCTATTGTGGATTGGTTCAGACGGGATGAGTGGCCACGCGGCACAGGACAGGATCCAAAAACTAAAATGCCAGCACCATGGTTTCACGGTTAGTTTGGATTCCTTTTTGTTGACTTATCGGTGTTAACCTTATTTTCCGAATAACATCAGCGTCTTGCTATCATTTTAATCATGTGATCTTTTCAATTGTCGTGTATGTTAACAAAAGTAGTGTTGGCGATTGTACAATGTCAAAGCATTGAGCTTTAAAAGAACCCACTCGCTCAAGTGCACTTTCGAAGGTCAAGAGATGCGCAGCTAACCTGAATTTATTGTGCACGAGCAATTAAGGGGAAGGGTACTAACAATAAGTCGCACCATTTAAAATGCTTCCCATTGTAGAATGTCGATGCTGTCGAAGGCGTAATCATGCACAGCATCGACACTATCTGCGCCAGTTGAAAGAAGTAATGTGAGTGATAAAATCAGTAAAGGTGAGACACGCATGTTCCGCCATGGGCGGTTTTCCAAGTGTCATAATCTCCTGATTCATGAACCGTACTCCATTGCAATATTACCGAGTCCAAAAAATTCGTAACGAGAACAGCTTACAGTTTAACGGACTTCACCACGTTGTACTTGTGAGTGCACAAAACCGGTCAACCTTGTGCGACTTTCGAATCTCGTCTTGTGCCGAAATATCAACAGTTAGCAAAAGATTCAAAGCCTACTTCCGTGAACGAACGTGTTTCTTTCAGTGTTTTTTGAATTTTGCCCGTCTAACAAGAAGGATACTTGGTCGCAGTGGCCATTCGAGACGACATGTATACCCCCGTAGGTGGTTTCAAACGCTGGTCTCAAATCTATATTCCAAACCCGCTGAACGGTTCTGGGAACAAAGTTACAGAACCGATGCCTCCTCGTCTTATACCACTGTACCGAACGGATCACCGTGGTGGTGGACAATGATGGCGCTTGATGCATGCAGTCGTTTTGCTTTTCCATGAAATGCGCCTTAAACGCTTGCAAATCGTTTTTGGGCTCAATATTGGGCGTTTACAGGGCTCCCTCACAATTTAGATCCCGGGGAATAGTAATCCAATGAAATTTTTTACCCTTACTGAAGAATATACATATACGCCTCTCTACCCCGAACAGTCAAGATGGTATTTCGAAATTTTCGGCAGCCCCCTCCACTCCAATTCATTTTCCACCGGTAGTTTCAACCGCTCTTATCTANAAAACAACCTCGTGAGAGTTGAACACAGAATTATACAAAGCTCAATCATGCCGAGGTTCATTGAAGACCGTACGTGGAGATTACTACGGCAGATCGGTCCGTTTGTTTTGCACCTAATAGTTGCGACCACATAAGACATCGTAGGTTGTCAATGATAGACAAATTTGAAAGCTCACGCCCTCTTAATTTCCGTAGACGGCACTATGCCGTTATGATACAAAACGCGTTTCTCATGTTCGAGGAGGTGCGGCTTCTGTCGACGTTCAAACTATAGAAGGCTATGGACCCTTTTACCAGCGCCATGAAATTGGAGCTCATGGGCCAGATCATGAATCTTTTCGCTTCGGAACCTCTATATCCCCACAAACGTACGAGGTTCTTTTTGCGAAGTAACGGGTCCATCGTCACTGACCTGATCAAGCGCCGCAGAGGATCATTGTGATCGCCTTTCACGGAGTTGACTTTTTCGCGAAGGATAACGGGATTGTTTTCATAGCATCGAGAAATACGGTTCGAAAGCTCTTCACTACCGCCTCTTCCTAAATGGTGCCCATGTTATGATGCAAGAACGAAAGTCCTCCATCAAGTATGATGACACCATTTTCGATAGGAGATTCGCTGGTAGTATGTTGAAAAGCGTTTGATCCAATGAACAATCTGGAGCCATTCTCCTCGAACCCTCTTTAGCCCATTTTGAGCAAGTGTTTAGAATTCCTCTTTTGCTCGAATGGAGCTCCTCCCTCATTCGGCCGGTGCGGGGCAAAAAAAAAAACTTTCCTTGTGATACCTCTTCAGTGTTCCTAAATTAAGGGAGAGCTCCGTAAATGCCCAACTTTGACTAAAAACGATTTGCAAACGTTTAGGGCGCATTTCGTGGAGGAGGAAAACGACTGTATGCAACATGCAATCGAACCTTGATGTCATGCCTACCCAGTCCATCGTTTTACCAGCTGCGCCACCGTTGCACACGTACGGCTTTGTTCGGCTCGGTGATTCATTCGGTATAGTGGTATTACATAGGGAGGCATCGGCCCCGTAATGTTCCCAGCATCGTCTAGCAGATTTGGAACACAGATTTGAGATCAGCGTTTGACACCAGGTACGGGAGTATGCATCTCATCTCGAATGGGCACTGCGACCAAGTATCTTTCTCTTGTAAGAATAATTTTTTAGTAATTTATTCGTGGTTATATTTGAAAAGTTTTATCTTGCTCACCTAAGTCGTAGAACTAGGCCTCTGCTCTGTAAACTATAATATTAATTGTGTAGTAATTGTAATTAATGGTTGATTTTGACACACGAACGAAAATGATGTAGTTCTTTTTTGCGAATATCTATTGAGTTATTTGAAAGAGTTATCAATGCAATCTTCAAAAGTCATGCGTTTAGGGATAATTTCGCGTGATCAGGCTGAGGTTTTGCTGCAGGACAAACCGACCGGATCGTTCCTTGTTCGTGTATCGGAGAGAATATGGGGGTTGGTTTACATGGAATTGTATATTATTAATGAAATTCCTCGGCTCCAATATTTTTTTCATTGCGGAGTATCTCTATTGATATTGATCGATTATCAGTCGGCATGGTTGCCAGTTCTGAATGCTCTTGCATGCTATAAATTTTAACCTCGAAATCACTATGACCGTGTTTCTTTTTTGACCTATAGCAAATATTAGAATGTGACAAAATGGGAAGTCTTTCCGCATTGACATTTTTTAAAGTGAGACTGCGTTACAGAGAGTTTATCTTTCCAAAAACGCATTTGGTCTGAAATTCCATTCTAATTCAGCGCAGCGCAATTCCTTTACCACAAGCAGCGCTTTGCAAATATTTCGAAAAGAAAGAACCATAAATCATAGATATACCAGGAAACGTTTCTCTATCGGTTGCGCTCAGAGTTATGGGACTAAATCTCGAAGAAGTCTTTGAGTGTCTTCTTGACCTCATCTTCTGCCCCTGTGATGAAAATGCGACCACAAAAATGAAGTAGAAGGGTGATTGGACGAGCTCTACAATGTGTGTCATTGCGCGAGTGTGGGTCCTGGTGCGAATAGCTGACTACAATAAGCAAAAATGTCCTTTTGAATTCATTCACTCATAAACACAAGTTAACAAAAACGTTATTAGCAGCAAGAGTATCCCACCTTTTTCATCCTTTTGGGATAGGAAATCAGATACAGGACCGCAGCAGCAAAGAGAATGAAAGATATTAATAGAATAGGAGCAATACATCGCCTGAGCACTCGAAGATCAGCTGATTGCGGGCTGAACGAGGACCTGGAACGAATATTGCAATCTGTATCGCCTCGACACTCGTCTGACACATCATCGGTCGCTGGCACCCGACCGATCCGGTAATAGGGCCCCTATTATGCCTAGCACTTGAGTTCTTCGGCCCGACAGCATCCTTTCTTTACCCTTGGGAATTCCTGAAGGGAAATCTTGAGAACCATTTTAATCGTGAGCTGTGCATTTAAGGCAGAACAAAGCAAAACTACATGTTTTGGCTTCAGGAAAACTTTGACACCGGGAACACAGGCGAAGGCTAAGAATGGGTCAACAAACCATCTGCATTGGGTTCAAAGGAGAAAAGGTGGAAGGCACCCATTTCACTTCATTCTTAATGTGAAGTAGTTCGTTAAGCCGCATGTTCTGTGAGCCCAGCCGAGGTATTCATCCTTGAAAAAACGAGTGTGTTTCATATACCTATCATCCCCGATTCTTTACATTCCCGTTGGCGTTTTTCAAGAATGAATATTTTCTTCAATCGCGGTTACCACTAAGTTGTATATGAAAATACCAGTTCCGAATACCTTCGTTTGATTGTCGCTCATTGCTATTGCTGCTGATTTACCACTTTTCTGGAGAATAAACTAAACAAAGAAGTGTTGCAGATATACGGTGTCCTATGTCGTTGGTGATGGTACATTCAAGCACTTTCTCGTTGAACGTATTCCTGAAGGTTATCAGTTCCTTGGAACGAATCAAGTTGTTCATGACCAGCTGTTTGATCTCGTTTCTTATCATGAGGTGAGTGGATCGTTCGTGTCAAGTCACTTCTCAGAAAAAAAAACTTGAAAGTGCCAATGATCGGGCGCAACAGTATACATGTACCAGATATGTATGCACATTGACTAGCTTCAATTTGCCAGTGTTCCATGAGGTCCCATTTGCGTGTTAGGACCGCTGCAACTGCTCATTTGTCGACGGTCTTCTAGAAGGGAACTTTTCAAAGATATCTTGTCCTTCTTAGCAACTAAAAAGGAGCACTTTAATGAAAAAAAAAACATCTAAGCTTGCATTATAGTCACCTTCCTTATTGCCTTTCACCCCATAACTGTGATTTCTATACATGCGTAGCAATGAATGTCGTCAAATGCACCCATGGCCCTTGGTGCGGTTGGTGAATGCATTGGCCAAGGATGTCTTCCAAGTTGTAATATTAAAATAATTTCCTTAGTTGCCCATGCTAGTTCACAGATCTTGCAATTAGAATTTCGTAATGTGCGATCAGTCGTATAATAACCTTTGTTGTGTAGTGTTCTTTATTAGCATACAAGCCTTTCATGCATAACACCGAAAATCGCCATGATTTTATGCATAGAGTGAAATTTGTGTAGTGATTACTGTTGCTTTTTCGCGATCGCTTCAAGACTCGAGCAACATATGTAGCAGCTCATCATATTTTTGAGGAACTCACAGCAATCATCGCTTGTTACCATTTTGCCCCAGCACCTCCAGTGAACGATAATTGGTTTACCGTCTCGCGATGCGCACACATACCTTCCATCGTGGAAGCATGTTTTCGATGCATTCAAAAAGAGCTGGCAAATGTAACACACGGTGTCGTTGGTTCTTAATCTTCATGCCTACCGTTCTAGTGTTGTAGAATTGAACATAGCTCGTAACCTAGACAGCGTTTCTGATACTCCTCTCAAAAATCAAAGGCAGCAGATCAAAGAATTCGCGAAGCGCTTGAAGCCCGTGGCTCGTGTTCTCAGCGCATAACGAGTTATTCGTTGGTTTTCCTTGGCACAAAAGGTGGGATGCTCTACGGTGAAAGCTCAGGCGCTTTTTGCACAGCTCCATTCCTTCTGGCGAGGCTCGCGCGCATGCACGTTGAACCTGACCTCATCGGTAACTATACACATACGCACGTGTCTGTCTGTTTATCACCCTTTCGTTTGTACGGAAATTCGATATCACCTCAAAGGTACAATTCACGATAATTTTGAGGTACTCCTTTTCAGACAAAAAGCGGAAGTGTAGGTTGGGAATAGTTTATCGGTAGTGAAAAAAGCTATAGAATTCTAAAAAACTCGATAAAACTAAGGTCCCCAAAAAGTGGAAATCCAGAGCTGACCGCATCGAGCCAAAACTGTACAGGACGGGCCATTTGAACTTCTTAGGGTCCCCTCGTGATAACGATCTTCTCCTAGATGTCCTTTTTGGTCCAGTAACTTCGCAAAGTGTGGGTCTTGACGTTGTGGACTCTGCAGGTCTCCATCCTTCCAGAATGGACTCAACGATGCGACACTTGGACTCTTGATCAAAATCCTTCACCACGCAAAATACATGCCAGGCGCTGACCACGCTAGTTTGACTAAATTATACATGTTTATGAAACGCATTGTAGTTCACTCGGAGAGCGGCTTTTATTACAGACCGCACCAATCACAGCAAGAGGTGGTGAAGTGCTGAAATGGTCAGTGGGTCAAATGTTTCGCCCACCAGATTATCATGATATTGTGCCAGAATTGGCTATTCCGGACATGAATCGGATACTAGGACGCTTTTAAACCTAGCTGAATCTTTTTGCATGCCTTATTCTGTTGCTCTATCTGCAGTTATCGTTCTTCCGCTTGAACGATTGTTAAGAATCTCGAATACGTGTGATATTGCCTATTTTTGAACTGTTATGTGTAAAGGGGGTCAATGCAAATCTTCATATTGCAAGGGTAATCTGTTGTTCGTTTACTCTTGAGCGAGAGCATAATGTATTTTGTTGGGTTCAATGACTAAAGTCACTTTCATACCATTGTAACTCTCAACAACTTCATATGTGTACATATGCGGCTTTCGCTCTTCTTTATCTGCATTTTGTTTTGGTCGCTTGTCTTCATAATATTGCTAACTGCATTACTATAATTTAACTGAGCTTGATTTAATGTTATGTATCTGTATGTATATTGTTGTTGAGTATCTATCAGTAGACATTTAGAGAGCATGTATTCTCGTGGTGTGCTTTTTCTTGCTTGTAGTGTGATTGTTGAAAACAAATCTAGCTATTGTTATAACGGTATCATAAAACAATACATATTATCAAGAGTGGTTCAAGAGTTAATCATTTATGGCTGTCTCCAATATACATTCGAAGGTTCATTTCGCAATACAATTGATTTTTACGTCAGGTTAACAACTGGTACATCGAACTTACTGTTGCATGGAAATGTAAACTCGCGTGCTAGTTACAGGACTGCCTAGAGACCATGAGTTGGATGGAAAACAACTTTGAACATTTTTAGTTAATTGGAACCCTCGCCAACGTTGTTCTACTGTACGATGGAATTTTGCGTGAAACCCACTATCCTTTTCAATTCTATTTATATATTAAAAAAATTCTACGGATCTATTTATATATTTAAAAAAATTCTACGGATCTCCTTCACTGAGTTCTCTCTCACTGAAGGATTCCCAGCCGGTTAGTGACGAGGCTACGTAGGGCGTCCCCAGGTGGCGGATAGGGGAATTAATCGCCGACCGAAAGTCACTGGTATTTGCCGGTGACG